GCCGGGCAATGGCAATGGCAATGGCGCGCAGGCGTCGAACTGTCCGCCAGCTCGCGCCCAGGGCCGCCCCGCGGCCAGGCGGCGCCGTCAGGGGCCAGCGCGGGCCCGAACGCGCGGGCCGAGAATCCGGCCCAGACGGCCACCGGGGCCCCGAGAGCGCTGTCCAGGCACTGCGGCTGCATGCCCGCTGAAAGCTTGAGCCCCGGCAGCGTCGGGGGAAGGCTGCTGCGGGGCGGCGACAACGCAAAGAAACCGAAGCAAACTCACGCCGCGCACATGCGCGCCCGGGGGGGCGCAAGACTCTTCGGAGGGGGCCGCTGGCCCGCGGCGCGAAGGCGGCGCGAGGGGGGAGAGACAGGACACATGGCGAACCCTGATTCTGTAGGGCCGTCTCGCCAAACCCGACTGTCAGGGGGGGACTGATGAGGACAGCGCGCATAAACGCCCATGTCTCTGGGCCATGTCCCATGGGGCTTCGCAGAAACGCCACAGGACAACGTTCACTGCATACTCGTCTGGCCCATTCGGGCGACAGGTGTTGAGCGAAATCCAACGGGCCCTTCAGGGCGTGGATGGTTTGGAGCGCTTCCTCTTCCTACCGCCTTCTTCCTCTTCGGGGAGGGGCCCGCCCCCCCCCCCTGACCCCCCCCTCGCCCCTTGGGACAGGGCGGAGAGGTTCGCGACCAGCTTCCCAAGTCATGCAGGCAACAAGGCGAGAAGGCAACATTCATTGTTTTCACTCTGAGTTTGGGCCCATGTCTGCCTCCTTGGGGGGAGGGGGGCCACGCTAACTTGGCACCCTCCCCTTCGTCGATCGATCTCTTCCAAAATGGCGCCATGGCCCGAAGGCCCCCGAGAGGGCCCCCAAAAAAGTGACCCGACAAGGCGCCCGGGAGGCCCCGGGAGGGCCCCCTAAGGCACCCGGCGCGCTCCGAGAGGCCCAGGGGGCCGCCAAAATGCCCCCGCGACGCCCGAACAGAACTCCAAGAAGCCCTCGAGAGACATCCGGAGAATCTCCGAGAGGCATCCCGGATGCCTCTGGCCCTTCTTTTCGCCCTCCCCCTCCTCCTCCTCCCCCTCCTCCTCCTTCGCCCTCTCGGGGTGCGACGGCTTCCCCGGCCCTGCGCGCCGCGGCGTGCTTCTCCACGGCAACGGCATCGAAAAAAAGGCAAGTCGCCGGGGCGGCGCTGCCGTGGATGGGTCGGCGGGGTTTCGCGAGCCTTCTAGAAAATGCGCGTCGCGCGCCGGGCCGCCATGCGGTGCTGAGCGGCGGGCGCAAATAAAATGTAGCATAGTGGACGTGGGACAATCATGCCATGATATGCTGGACATAGTCACGCCCAGGACTGGCTCGACGGGGGGATCTTGGTCGGTCGCGACCAGAATGAGTTTTCATTGTCATTCTTCGCGCTGGAGAACCTGATCAGAAAACCCGGGGAAACCCGAACGCAGATCCATGAGCTGCGCTAGCGGGAGGCGGCGACGGACAACACTGCGCCCACCAGAACCTTTCCAGGCACTGGAGACTACGCCTCGTTCTTCACTTTTTTCCGCATGCGTGGCCCGAAATTGGCTGCGGCTGCAGAATGCGGCCGCAGTGGTGCCAGCAACGCACCGGCAGCTGACTATGAAAATCTCAGCGGGCGGCGGGAGATCAACTGAGGCTGTCAGAGCCTGCGCCCGTCGAAGACGGCAGCGCCTCTTCGCCCCGGGCGCCTCCTCCGAAAACGACTGACAAACGCAGGCCCTGCCCGCGCCAACAACGCTTCGGGAAGGCCGGGAACGGGAAAACAACGGCGCGCCGACAACCAATCTAATTATTCGAAAAGGGCAATGGAAACGGACGGCGGACCGTTGATTCTCCCAACCGAAACGTTAACGAAACGGAGCCAGAAACGCAAATACAATGTGCCGGCCCAATACGGCCCCGGCCCTTTTGAGAGACATCAAAGGGGGGGCGCTGACTTAGAGCCGGGGATGCGTCGACGACCCATCGGCGACAGGGCCCGCGCCTGGGCAGACTGGAGCGCCCAAGGGCCCCGATCGACGACGAATGGCTGATTGCGGGTCGGCGTTTCTCTCCGTGGGCGACCCGCCCCCTGTCGGCGCACTTGAAACGGCGCGGGCGCAGACGACGGCGGGCAGGGCGCCGACCGCGCGCCGACGTCGAGCACGGCGCAAGGAACGCGCACTTGCAGGAATATGAATTTCAGAAATCCGCGCGGACCTCGCGAGAAAATGCTCGCGCGCGCCCTCCTTCTTCTTCTTATGCCTCTTGTTCTTCGCGTCGGATTCCCCCGCCCGCTCCGCCGAGCGCGGGCCGAAAGAGGGCCCCGCGCATTCCAGCGCGCGCGCGCCGAAGGCGCGGCGCACGCTTCTCCGTCTGGCCCTGGGGCCCCGAGGTTAGAAGACCCACTGGTTCTCCCGCGCGCCATTCGCCTAGGGCCGCCTCAAGCCCGCGCCAGCGCCGCCACGTGAAAAGACTGGCGTCTCTCGTCTGGCGCGAGCGCGGGCAGGCGCGCCTCGACCATGGTGGCGGCGACCCGCCACATGGCAGTGGCAATGGCCGCCTGCGCCCTTCGCAGCAGCGCCTGGCGGCAGCGCGACCAGCAGCGCCGCGCGCTGCGCCCCCGGGCGGGCGCGGCCGCGGGCGGACCGCGCCGCGGACATGTGCTCGATGTCCGCCGCGGCCAGCTCTGGGCGGAGGTCGATGCACTCGCCAAGACTGCGCTCTCGCATGGCGTCGCAGCTGACTTCGCCGGCCCCTCGCGCCTCTCGCCCGCCGAGCGACCCACGAAGGCCGCGCTGGTCGGGGCATCTCAGGGAGGAGCAACGGAGCTGACGGCACTAGCCCGGGAAATTCGGCTTCGGCGCTGGGGTCGGCCAAGCGCTCGCGGCCTTGTTGTCGACTGCGGCTCGGGCCTCCCCCGTGGCGGCCAGGCGCAGCCTGGCGCCTTGAAGGCCTGCAGCAGAGCGCGGGCGGTCTCCGTTCCGAAGCGCTCCAGCGGAAGGACCCCCTCAAATCCCGCCGCGGCGAACGCCTCGCGCGGGCCGCCCGCGCGAGCCCGCGACTCCGCGCGAGGAGCGAAGAAGGCTGGCAGGACCACGTCGCTGGCCCTGCGAAGGCCGAGCCCACCCTCGCAGACGCCTGCAGAAAACTAAGCCAACGACTCCTCGTCGAGCGGCCCGCCGAGCAGCCGCGTCGTTGCGCGGAGGAACATGCCGTCGTAGCGAGCAAGCGCCTCCTCGCTGACGTTCGGGCCAGCTGCCCGGAGCAGGTGAGCCACCTCGTCGACGTCTGGGCAGAACCGCATCAACGCGAGCTCGGCGGACGGATCCTCCAGCAGGCCCAGCGCATCGCGCGCGGCTGCCGCCTTGTCCGTTGCGGCGACGACGAGCTGGGCGCCAGCAGTGCCGCTGCCGAAATCATCGCCGAGCGCGTGGCGGGCCAACTCTCAGGCCGAGGGGCCGCAAACTCCAGGGAGCAGTCCGTGGCCCAACGGGGGCGCGCCGCGGCGGCGATACCCGGTGGCGCGACGACTGCCACGACTGAGATGGCACGCTCCCGCGGCCACGCGCCGCGCTGGCAACGGCGGCCTCAGCGTCGAACGACCGCAACCACGGGTCCACGCTGGAACTGCGGGTGGCGAGCTGGCCGTCGTCCATGAACCACTCGACGGCGAACTGCAGATTGCCCTGGGCTCTCGTGGAGGCCAGGACTCGCGTAATGTCCAGAGCGCGCAGCAGGGGCACAAGGGGATCGCCCTGCTCGGCGCCTCGATCCACGAACATCGCCTGCGCACGTGGCAAAATGAGGGCGGCAAGTTCGCGATGCTTTCACGGAGCGGAGTCCAGAGCGGGGGACAGGGAACCCCTCGGCAACATCGTCGCGGATGTTGGCCCACTCCACTCCAAGGACGGAGACGTTTTCCTCAAGTCCACGTTGGTAAATGCCAACGGATCGTCGTCGAAGCGGTCGCAACCCTCCTCCAGGAACTCGTCCAGCTCAGTGCGCCAATGGACAAGCGCGTCTGTGCCAGCTGGCACGCTGACCCCGAACTGTTGCGCAGCTAGGAACCTGGATGGATTCACGGTGCGCGGGCCGAACATGACTCTCGCACTGCGGGATCCAGGCATCAGTCAACTCAACATACCTGAACGGCATGCAAGAATATGGTGGGCGGACAGACGGATGATCGGTGTGGCAACGTTCTCTATGTATAGCCAGAATCATGGATCTGAGGTTCGTGAGCGACTGGTCGGGTGTACAGTATACGGTCAAGTTTTTGGTGGGGGGAATGGTATGACAGAAAGCACGACGCTGCCGCGGGCCGACGAAACGGGACAACTGACGCACAGAGTTGCCATCAAATTGTAAATCAGAATCGCACGAGCGGCATCCACGCAACTTTGTTTCTCATTCAAGCACACATGTATGTCCTCATCGAGTCAAGGGCACATACATGGCATCGCTCGAAGACCATAACACGCATCGTGCGCAACGGGGACTCAAACAGATGCACACGTTCTGAAGCTAAAGTAAATGACGTGGACAGGAGGGAGATCATGGACGACGAGGACGGAGAGAAAAAACACACCTAAAGGGGAATTGGGAGGAGCGCCACAACCTACAGAATTGTAAACAAATTCGCATGCAAAGCAAGGGTTAACCCTCCTCGAAAGGAGGAGGAGGCGGAGGAGGAGGAGCCTGTGAGTCAAGCCTGTGGTGGGTGACGGTCCCCCGAAGAACGTACGCCCCGCTGCGTGCGTTTCCACCCCGAAGCGCCTGCGGGTCACAGGCGGAGGAGGGAGAGGCGAGGGAGAAAGGAGGGATACATGCATGATGACGAGGAGGAGGATCACGAGGAGCACGAGTGAGGAGAAGAGGCAAGAAGGAGGAGGAGGAGGAGGAGGAAGATGGAGAGTGGCAAAGGGAGGTAGAACAGAGGCGAAGGAGGAGAGGAGAGGCAAGGCGAGGGAGGCGAGGCACGAGGGTCCGCCTGGCGGGCTCGGCGGGCGCTTCCAGCAGCCCCCCGCGCCCGCCCGCCTCCTCGCGGGCCGCCGTGTCGACCTCCGGCAGGCAGAGGCCTCGCGCCAAGGCATCCCGCTGCGAAGACCAGACGACGGGAAGTGGTGGTCAAACTTTGGCCTCCGCCTCCTCCTCCTCCTCCTCCTCCTCCCCTCGCCTCCTCTCCCTCCTCCCCCCCGAACCCCCTCCCTCCCCCTCCTCCTCTCCCTACTCCCCCTGGGACCATCCAGGAACGGCCTGGGAAGAAAAACTGGTTCTGGGGCAAGACCCCAGACCTCTGGAGGTCCACGCTGTGAAACAAAAAACCATGGGAGATCTGGGCCGACGGCTGCGGGGCCCTGTGGAGTATTCTTGGGCTGGGGGGGTGCTGGTTGGGAGGTATCAGTCTCTGATGGGTGTTAAGTTCCTCCGCTAAGCGGCCCCCGAAAGCTTCACTACTTCGCACAAGGGTTCCTGGTTGCCTGTTCCGCAAGAACCCTCTCCGAGTATTGAGTTCGACGGCCGTTCGCAAACATCCTGGCCAACCCCCATGTGCTAGTGGACTGGGGAGAATAAAGAGCGGGAGAAAGGAAACGGAACGGGGGAAATAGGAGAGGAGGCGGAAACACGGCGCCGCGCCCGCCACGTCGAGCACGTCGGAAAGGAGGCGGGAACGAGGAGAAGGGGCGGTGGACGCACCTGCTTTCCTGCAGAATCCCCTCTGGGTACCCAAAACGAACTGGGGAGGTACAATACGGCCTAAATGGCCCCCGAAATGCCTTGGGAGGCGCGATGCCCCCGTATGGGCCCCCCAAAGACTTCTGGCCCACGATCCAGGCGCGGTAGTGGATGAGCCAAGACATGCATGCGCGGAGGGGAAATGGAGGGCAGCATACGCCATTCAAATGAGAGAGAGAGAGAGCGTGATCCACCGCCGCTTTACTGTGGAAAATTGCCAACCTTTTCCTCCGGAGCCCGGGGGTCTCCCCCCCCCCCTCCGAAAATCCCCCCCCCCCTGCTGGAACCCCTCCCCCCCCCCCCCCTCCCCCGGCAAAACCCCCCCCCCTCCCCTAACCCCTCCCCCCCCCCTCCCCCTCGAAAACCGAGGGGGGGTCACTACCGGTTCGAACCCCTCCCCCCCCCCTTCCGGATCCGGAAAACCGAGGGGGGCCACTACCGGTTGGACCCCCCCCCCCCCGAAAACCGGAGGGTCACTACCGGTTCGACCCCCCCCCCCCCACGCACCGCCAGCAAACGACTCCCGGTCCCTACCACTGCTCGCATGTTCCCAGCACCACTGTCCTCACCACCACTGCCCCCGCTGGTTCCACCACCGTCCCTATTGTCCCCACCAGTGCCCCCACCACTGTCGCACTGTCCCCACTGTTCCCACAACTGTTCCCACCACGGTTCCACTCTCCCCACTGTCTCCACGGACCCAACCACTGCCTATCCCCACTGTCCCCACTGTCCCACTGACTCCTCCGCTGTCCCACTGAGCTGTCCCACTGTTCCCACCACTGTCCCCACTGTCCCCACCACTGTCCCCACTGTACCTCTGTCCCATTGTCCCACCGCCGTCCTCGCCGACGCCTTTACCAGTGTCCCCACCACCATTGTACCCTCCACTGTCCCAGTGTTTCCACCTCATTCCCACTGTCCCCACACCACTGTCCCCACCACCACCGTTCCCACCACTGTCCACTGTCCCCCCTGTTCCCACCATTGTCCCCACCACTGTCCCCACCACTACCGTCCCCACCACTGTCCCACTGTCCCCCCGCTGTCCCCACCACTGTCCCGCTGTCCCCTCACCACTGTCCCCACCAACACCGTCCCCACCACTGTCCGCACCCCCACTCGGTTTTCGAGGGGGGGGGGGGTTCGAACCGGTAGTGACCCCCCCCCCTTTTCATGATGAGCTGGGGGGTGGGGGGGGGAGGGGTTCGAACCGGTAGTGACCCCCCCCGGTTTTCCGGAGGGGGGGTGGGGGGGGAGGGGTTCGAACCGGTAGTGACCCCCCCCGGTTTTCCGCCAGCAGCGGTAGAACACGCTCTTTCAAATGAGAAGTACTCTGGGATCTCTGGGAGCGGGCGGATCTGAAAGATGTATCGGGCGCCGCGGCCTTTCAGAGCGCCGCAGCACGCTCTGCCAGCATTCCGAAACGCTCTGAGGCGATTCTTCCTCACCCTCGGCCTACCCAGCCCCTCCCCTCTCTCACCTGGTACCCCTCCCCGCACCTCCCCAGAGCTCACTCAATCTCGCGCTTCGCGCTGCGCGAGCTGCAGCCATGTTCGCGCCCTCGTGCCCCCCCCCAGGACAAGAAGTCTCCAACCGAGACCCCGAAGCTCGGCGCGTCCCTTTTTACCCTCCGCTCTCCGCTCTTACGTCGTGAGGGCGACAGCGACAACGCTCCAGGCAAACCATGCGCAGCTACGAGCACACAAGGAAAGGGCGAGCAACAAAGACTGGGGCACGGAGGTGATGAGCAGAGGCGAACAAGAACGCGGCGGGATGCGGGCGCGAATTGGGGAGCGAACGGATGCTCGGAGAGAGTTTGTGTTCTAGGCGCCCGCGAGATATACGGATGCCGCCCCTGTTCCAAGGCGCAAGGGCAGCTCGCGGAGGCAGACCGCATGCGGAGTCCCTGCGACGCGCGCCCGTCGCCCCGCCAGCATTCCACCGACGCGCGCGGGTCGTCCGCCGCACGGTAAAAATGGTGGCTGGCTGACAGCGGGCACGGCGCTGAGTACACGGCGCAGGCAGGGTGGTGAAGGGTTGGGCCATCAGACGATTACTGCGAGAACGCGCTCCGACCGAATCCCTTCGACGCGCAGGAGAAGCCACGGGGCCACACTGGGCTGACATTGGGGGCCACTGAACGCATGTCAGGGTGTGCAAGGATTAAACGCGGGAGCTCGTTGGAATCCTGCCACTGGGGCGCTCGGTGGAATTCCCTATGGTTCCACGAAGCGTGTGTCTGGAGTGCCGAAATGAAAGCGGGAGTTCATGCAAATCTGGCGGTTGTGGCCTTCAATGGAGCTCCTTGCGGGGCCACAAAACGTGCTGGGGTGTGCCAACATGACAAACGGAATTCACGCGGGCCCTGCAATTTGGACCTCAATGGGAACTCCCTAGGAAACCACGAACCGTGTTGAAGTGTGTGCCCAATGCGAGCCCTAGCATTGGGGCCTTAATGGAGTTCCCTATGGGGCCACGAAGCGTGTGATGGGGGGGGCAACATGATGAGCGGGAGCTCATGTGAACCCTGACCTGTGGGGCCTCAATTGAGGCTCCCAATGGGTCCACCAAACGTGGGCGCGCCAGGATTCAAGGCGGGAACTCATGTGAACACTGGCACAGGGCCTGACTTGGAGCCCCTCATGGAGCCACGAAATGCGTGAAGGCTGTGCCGACATAGAAAACTGGAACTCATGTGTAACCTTGCATCCGGGCCTTGATTGGATCTCCGTATCGGGCCAAATGACGTGTGAGAAGTTTGCCGCCATCACAATAAGGGGGATTCATGTGCGCCCTGGCATTTGGGCCGTACTTGGAACTCCCTATGCGGCCACGGGACGTGTGAGGGGTGTGCCAAAATGGAAAGCGACAACTCATGTGAACCCTGTTACTGGGGCGTTGGGTCTCTATGGGGCCACGAAGCGTGAGGTGTGCACTGGATTGATACGCGCGAGCTCATGTGAACCTCAACATATGGGGCCGAGCTGGAACTTCCATATGGGTCCACCAAATGTGAAGGGGTGTGCCAGCGTGAAGTGGGAACTTGTGTGAACCCTGGCATGTGGGCCGTAGTTGGAGCCCCATCATGGGGCCGCAGAACGTAACGTGTGAAAGTTGTGCCGACATGACAAGCAGGAACTCGTGTGAGCTCTGGCATTTGGGCCTTCTTTGGGTCTTCCTATGGGACCACAAAACGTGAAAGAGGCGTGCGGACATGATAGGCGAGATTGCCCTACACGCTGGCATGTGGATTTGGAGCTCCCTATGAGGCCACCAAGCGTGCGATGTGTGTGTGCCGAAATGAAAGACGGGAGCTCATGTGAACCCTGGCATTGTGACTGTACCTGGAATTCCCTTTAAAACCACGGAACACGTGAGGTGTATGTGTGTGCCTAAATGAAAGACGCGACCTCACGTGAACCATAAAATTCGGGCCTCACCTGGAGCCCCAAAGCGGGCCACGAAATGTGTGATGAGTATGCCGGGTATGATTGCTGATAGTGAGGATGTTGATGATGATGCCGGTGGGGCGGATGATGATGGTGATGGCAATGATGGTGATGTTGCTAAGGACGACGATAGCGATGGTGTTAATAAAGGTGACATTGGTGACGATAGCGATGAAGATGGTGGTGATGCTGGTGTGGGTGATGCAGATGTTGATTGCGCGGATGTTGACATGAGGCTGCATGTGATGATGCTGAGTATGGAGGTAAGGATAATGACGGTAGTGATGATGGTGGTTGTGGTGGCGGTGGTAATGATGTCGGTGAATATGAAGATGAAGATGGTGCTGATGATATGGCCTGGTCCGTGCCCAGAGCTTTGTTATTCGTGCGAGGGCCACCAGGCGGGGATCGATGCCGCTGTCGGCCAGCACCAGGTCAATCATTCTCGAATGGGTTTCAGGGAGGCAAGGCAAGACTTGAGAACGGATGCGCGGCCCGCAAAAAAAAAACGTTGCCGCGGGCAAAATAAGGTGGCCTGGTCCGTGGCCAGAGCTCTGCTATTTGTGCGAGGGTCGCCAGGCGGGGATCGATGCCGCTGTCGGCCAGCACCAGGTCAATCATGCTCGAATGAGGTTCAGAGAGGAAGGGAAGGATTTGAGAATGGATGCGCGGCCCGCAAACGAGCCAAACATTGCCGCGGGCAGCATCATGTGGCCTGGTCCGTGGCCAGAGCTCTGCTATTTGTGCGAGGGCCACCAGGCGGGGATCGATGCCGCTGTCGGCCAGCACCAGGTCAATAATTTTCGAATGGGGCTCAGGGAGGGAAAGGCTTGGGAATGTATTCGCGGCCCGCAGAAGAACCAAACATTGCCGCGGGCAACATAATGTGG